GTGCCCAGTTGTTTTAGCTAATTCGCTCATTTAAATTGATCTAATTTAGAATTTTAACCAAATACTTCATTTAAATTTAAACAGTTAATTAAAATTTAACAGTTTAAATAATTGTCGCTAATATTTCATTGAGCATTTCTCACCCATGTTCCTGAGAGAGATATTTCTGTAGTTTTCTTGTAATATCTTTGTCCGGTTTTGGCATTAGGGTCCTGCTGGCCTCAGAGAATGAGTTCGCATTCTCTCCTCTGCGAGAGATTATAGAGAACTGATACCCTTTCTTCCTTAAAAGTTTGGTAGAATTCACCGGTGAACCTAACGTGGCCTGGTGCTTTCTGTTTGGAAGGTTAATAATTATTGATTAAATTTTCAAATCAATATGATTCTGTTCAGATCATCTGTTTCTTCTTGGGTGATCTTTGGCAGATTGTGTCTTTCGAGGAAGTTCATCTAAGTTATCCAATTTGTGGATACAGAGCTTTTTATAGTATTTATTATTCTTTTAACGTCCACAGGCCTGGTAGTAATGCCCCCTCTTTCATTTTTGCTGTTAGTAATTTGTGTCCTCTTTTTTCTTAGTCTAGCTCGTCGGCTTATCTATTTTATTGATCTTTGCAAAGAGCCAGCTTTCGGTTTTATCTTTTTTTTCTATTGGTTTCCTGATTTGAATATCACTGCATTTCTGCCCATTTTTTTTTCTTCTGTTTCCGTTGGTTTGAATGTGCTGTCTTTCTCGTTTTCTGAATTGACACCTTAAACGATTGATTTTAGATCTTCCATTCTAGCGAACGCATCAGTGCTATGCATTTCCCTTAACTCTGCCTTCTCTGCGTCCCACGCATTGATTTACGTCCACTCTGATTTACTTCAGAATACTTTTAAATTTCCCTTGAGATTCCTTCCTTGACCCATATGAGGCGTGGGTCTTAATCTCCATGCATATTGGGATTTTTCACACAAAGAATATGGTTTCTATTCTTTTAGATGTGTTAACATGTGTTTGATGCTCCAGAATGTGGTTTTAGGAACGTTCCAG